GTGACAGGCAGTGACAGTGAACAGAGTACAGTTCTGATGAGCCATACCTAGCTCCTTCTGTATGTTGTCAGGGATTCCTGTAATAGTCTTTCTCCTTTTGACTTTCTTCGGGCGTCTTACCACCGTGTCTGTGTAAATTAGAGACCGCCGAATGCTGGCCTGGCGGTCGAAATTCTCCCCTAATGCACAGTAGAACAAGCAAAGCAACATTACTTCCAAGCACGCTGACATCATGCACCTTCTTCCACTAGTTTTGTTGTAGAAATGAAAAAAAAGCATTAATAAATGATGTTAGCTTGGTCCTACAATGAAGGTTTACATTGAAGAAAAAGATACAGCATATCATCACAGTAAGGCTTTAGACACACTTAGGCACTACACAGATTTCCAAAGGAATTTTGACTTTCCAAATCAGAAAACAGAGTATGCAGCTGTAATTTTGCTGAAGTGAAGGGAACCCTTGATCGAATTTGGCCCTTTGTATTGTGTCCTTTTTAAGTAATGAGCTTCAGAAAAAGCAAATCTGCTCATGAAAATAAAAGATCACAACAGCTTTTGCAGGAACAGCCACTGCGATTGGCAAGAGCTGTTAAGAGTTCGCTGTGCAGCTCCATCATTAAATCACACTTCCTTTTTCACTCCTTATTGCTCTGAACCTGTCAAACGTACCATATTCGGGGGGGGGGGGGATATTTTTAAACATGAATACAAATAATTACTATGGAGCATGCACACATCAAATGGATCTTGTCATCTCAAAAATATCCCAGTCAGAGCGGAAGCTGCTTAAAACTGCAACTTTGTAAGTGATAAAACACATATGCAATGCCAAGAGCTGAGGAAGATAAGGTGTGTGTTTAAGTGCCCATTGCCAGGCAAAGCCTTATAGTGACCGTGTGCTGTATCTTAATGGGACCCAGAAGCACCACTATGGTTAAGGTCGAGCAGCTTTTCTTTGGAAATTCACTTTTGTCTGGAGGTTTGTAATTTGGCCATTTCACGAGCAACAAGATAAAACTTGCCCTATATTTAAATCTCCGTCTCTTCTAGAAATCCTGAAAACTGCAAATGTCACACTGACATTCCCTTTTTAAAAGCTGAAGCACTTAAAAATCAGTGCCAATTTTAAGTGTAAGATGAGCTATATAAAGCTGAAATGCAGAAAAATACTGGATGCACATTGTATTGCATGCTTTTTTGAAAATTGATGGCCAAATTATTTACCTCTGAAAAGTGATTAAGGCATGTGCACAGTAACTAGTACATCTGTCATAAATACAATCCCTAGCTGACTACACATCAACATGATGTGTGTCATGCAGAAGGCGTAGAAAACCTAATTATCTCTACAACAGTTAAAGATACACTCACATATTAAATATAACATGTGGACTTCTTGTGAAAATACAAGCAAAAAAAGTAGCAGTTTCATTCACCATGTAACAAACAGACTCCAACTCTGTTTTAATGGAGTTTTGTGCTCCCAGGAACAACATTCTTGCTAAACAAAATTATTGCAACTATAAATAAGTATCATTTTCATCTTCAATTTTAATTAAAGTGAGGCCAGTTTAAGGGAGAAATCCTATGAGATCGATCAAATTTAGAGCTATGAATCCCACAGGCTTAGTAGAGGCCCTGAAATATTAAGACGGAGCATTCACCGCCTGGGGCACTGCTGCTCCTAGGACCTTACGGCCCTTATGGGGTCAGGGTCAGGACTATTAGATAATCCTGCCATGTACTGAGCAGATAGTGGCTCTAGCCTCACTACAACAACGCAGCAATGAAGTGAAGAGGGAAATTTTTCCACCTCCGAATGTATCTTTACCCATTAAAAGACCAACAATGATGCCTGAGACTGTGAGTTTCAAGGAAATTGAATGTAGTTTTGAATTTCTGAACACCCTAGAATCACATACCATGTAAATGGCTAAGAGAGGGCGCACACAAGGAGGGAGCCCTTTACATAAGGTCTCGGACACACAGGCAGCGTGACCACAAGGAAAAGCTGCTGCGTGGCAGATGACCCACAGCAACTTCTTCTCCTGTACTGCCTATGACCTGACTCGACCGATCCATCCTGAGTTGCTTTTGCTGTACAGCTTTTTAAAAGCCACTGTGCAAATTCAGAGAATTTTAAAATAACTGCTTTAAAAACTCTAAGTAAATAAGCAAAATCAGAATGCTTCAGCCTTTTCTTCTTCACTGTCGTATTTTAAAATGACATTACTACTAAACGCAGATTTAAAGATACTTTTCTCATTCCTTTACAGGCTTATAATACATAATCCAAGCCTTCCACATGCAGCTTATTCAGTTTTTCCTGACGCAGTTTGCTTTGCTTTGTTTGATTCACCAACGATTTATGTGTTTAATCCTCACTAAAGTCAGCCCAGGAGGACTCAAGCAAATGCTTAAACGCTTTGCAGAATCCAGCCTGGCACTAACCACCTCCACCACCACCAGAGCAGCTTCCTCCATCTGTAAAGAAAGTTAGTTCCACCAAGCCCACCAGAGCCGACACCATTTGAACGGACATCGTTTAACCCAGAGGATACGTAAGAGCAGAGAGTGGCCACCGCTCAAAACGCAGCCCCAAACGCTTCCAGAAGGAGCTCAGCCCAGCCGACCCCCAAGGCAGAAACTGTTCCCAGAGGGGGACGCGGGCCCCGCAGCCCCTCGCAGCTCCCCGCGAGATCCGCCCCACCGCGGGTTAGCTGGGACCTGCTCCCGAGGCGCCGGCAAGCCCCGCCAGGGCAGCATCTCCTGCACGGCCACGGGAAGGGGCAGGGAACACCATCCTTCCTAACGCGCCGGGAAAGGCTGTGCGATTCCAGCATCCCCTGCCACGGGGGAGGCTTTGTTTCAGGCCAGGAGTAGTAAGTGGAAGTCTTTTCTGACCTCTCTTTTGGGCCAGTGAGAAAAAGAGCAAGCAAAGGAAAAAGCCAATCAAAACAAAAATACAGCTATGGTTCACAGCACGTTTAAGATAAACTGCACAGAATTTTGGGTCTTTTTTTTTTCCTGCCTCATGTAGTAACATAAGGGACTTCACAAAATAAAATTACAAGTGTGGGAGGGCAGAGGAAGGGAACAGATTGCGACTTTTTAAAGGGAAACAAGGACAGGAGTCCCTGTTTTTTGGTAGCCCAGAGTCTGTTACTTCTGCTTCTACTTTCAAAGTAGCAATGTAATTATTCAGGGAAAGGAAACTATGTGGTTCTCAGAGCCCACCTCATATACTGCAGAGGTAATTCCCCTTTACTGTACTCCTACTGACTGTTGTTTTATAGGGAGAAAATGCTGAACACCAAGTTCTAGGAAGGTGAAGAATAATACACTGTGCAGGGTCTGTTGGGGGAAAAACAATCCTGAGTAGCAGAGTGCAAAACAAACAACTTGGAGGCACAAGGTTTGCTATCCAGTTGGACTGATCTGACTGAACTCCAACGAAACTCCAAGCGTAGCTTATCCAGATCCATTAAACAGTCTCAGTGACACTGCATTAAATCTATGACTGTTATTTGATCTCCTTCACCCCATCTTCCTCCGCATCTGTTGCCCTCCCCTTCGTACTCTCAGCACCAGGGCCGCAGAGCGGAGCCGCAGCCCGTTCTGCTGCGACGGCACCCGGCCCCGCTCGGCCTTATTGACTGTGTCAGCTCACCCGAGCCCTGCGCCCCACAGCTCTGCCCTCTGCACCCCACGGGCACCGCGCAACGCCAGCGACCTGGTAATATCTCAGTATTGCTCTTCCTGATGATGCTTCTCCAGAGGTGGGATGTTGGCAGTTTTCTGTGGCTTTCAGGCTATTATTTGCAAATATTTTCTGCTGTTTATTTGAATAACTGTTTTTTTGTTGATTACTCAAAGCTCTCTGATGGCTGCCACTGGCCTTAAATTACGAGATATCTTAAAATTTTACCATCAGAAATCTTCATCAAAAGGAGTCGTGCTCTCTGCCTTACAAAAAAAATAGTTTATAAAAGTATACCTGAAAAAAATATTGGTAGTTGCAATGAAAAGACGACCACCTAATTTACTTGCAAAACAAAACCAAACATCACAAGCTATTGAACAGATTATAAGAGTGAGCATGGAGCCAAACAGAGCCATATGGCATTTGAATAAATTGGATATTGAATATCATTCTGGTTTTGGCAGGAAAGCAGTCAGTTATTTGAATTAACTAATAATAGACAAAGTCGATACTGTGCAGAGAAAGAGGGATTATTAAATGGAAGTAATAATTCAATCTTTCATAGAAATTCTATTTACATACATCAGGAAATCTATTCAGCATTAGGCTTTTCACATGATTTAACCTCTATAGAGTTGAGTGGGAGTCCTGCAATTGTGAAATGAAAGACTATTTTGAAAATAGAAAGTGAATACACAGCTTACACCAATAAAATGTGGGCTGTTCTCATGCAAGTTAAGTGACCTAACAAGAAACTTTGAGGACCTCTCATTAACTTTTTCCGTCCTTTCCCTAGTTTGCCACCTAAACCTCTTAAAAGTGATAAAATAAGACCTTTGAATTCTTTACCTCCAGTTGTGCAATACTTAGCCTTTCCTTTGGAATAGAGCAGTCTCTGAAAGTCTTCCTTACATTAGCATTTTCTCAGAAAAGTTTAAAGATCATTAACATTGCACAAACATGATTTTCTCTTACATATCTTTAGTGCAGGCTACAGCAAAACGTAGTGACATATCACACCTCTAGTAATATACACAACTCTAAATGCTGTTTCAAGCTCATGCTGTGTAAATTATCATCATTAATGCTCATTTTTAAGAATTTTAGAGCTTTTCCTCATTAAGCTCAGAGATGCACTATTAAACAGAGAACACTGTTTAAAAAAAAAAAGGTGCAATTAGTAATACCAAATTCACGGATCATACATACAAGTGTCAAAATACCATCCAGTGGACGCAACCTCTGTTATCCCTCCCCCAACATGCATTCTAAGAAGTTACGGAGATTAAAAGCCTACCAGTGACATTAATAGGAACCACGTCTGTTTGCACTGCCTGTGCTTGTTGTCGCATTTTCTCTTCTGGTGTTGGCAGGGGGAGTGACTTAGTCCAGTTGGTTTGGGTGTTGATATCTGATAACTCATTTGAAACGGGTGTTTTAGGCCTCTTGATGGTAATGAGCTTTTCTTCTTCTGGGGAGGAGACGGAGCACTGCGAACAGAAATACATACAACACAATAAATTCACTACCCAAAACAAAATCAAAAAAAAAGAAAAATCAGCACTACACTGTGATGGCACTAAAGCACTTCAATCACTGCAACTCATGATACAACATAATACATTCCCATTTGCCCAGAAATATCATCACACTGACATACACAAGCTTTTTTTTTTTTTTTTTTTTTTTAAATGGATTGTGTTTATCCAACGCACCCAACCAGTCTCAGGAGCACAGACACACGAGAGCAGAGCGGCCTCGGGCAGAGCAAAGCACCATGATCATCGGCCGACCACGGCGCCTGGAGCGCCGGCCTCCGTCGCGCCTGCCTCTGCTCTCCTCACCAGGAGCAGCCCGCGGGAAGGAGACGGGAGGGCAGTGCCACGACCTGGCTGCCCTTGGGAACGCGGGGGCACGAAGCCGCCGCGAGGAGCTGCCGTGAGGAAACACGTCCAGGGAGCTCAGTGAAACGCCGAGCCAAGGGCTGCGCAACGCTGCCAACAGGGCTCGTCAAGGCAGCAAGTGACCGCCGCAGCCCTGGGGGAGCTCACCACAGAGAGGAGAGTTCGTTTTGCTCTGTTTTTGAAGGGGGAAGTAGCTCATGATGTTAGGAGACACAGAATGGTCAGTCATTTTTTAAGTCATTCCTTATCAAAGCATTGGCCACTTTATTTTAAAATGTGGGTTGATGCTTTTTTGTCTCTTAAATAAATAAATAAGCACCAGAAAGAGAGGCTGGAACAGCTTGCACAGATACTTCTACAAGGCAAAGTTACAGTGCCAAAAACGACATTTGCTTTAGGGCAGCAAAGCTGTTCATTACCGTGTTTGGATGACGGAGCCGTATTTGGATGATATAACAGTATCACCCCACAGCAAACCCTGAGGACAAGCAGGTTCACAACACACAGAAAACACTGCATGGGCTTAGAGAAGGTCGTCACAGAATCAAAACCCAGAAGACACCATTGATTTCTCTGCTCTTGTGCTTGTGACAGGGAAGGACTGCAAACAGCTCCGAGCCAGCGGGTTTGTAGCGCTGGCGGCGCAGGCAGCCCCGCTGCCCCCGGACAGCAGCAGCGTCACCACGTGCACGGGGACGTGCGTGTTCAGGGGAGCAATCAGGGCTCGAGCCGGGGGGAAATATCATCTCTACGGATGATATTCACCCCTACAGTAAACTGGCGCTGCTGCTCCGGCTGCCCGGTGCTGTCAGCACCAATAACCGTCACCTTCAACCCTGCTGCAGCGCGAGGTCTCAGCTGCCGCCGGGCTCCGCAGCCGCCACGGGCGACTCCAGCACCGCGAGCGACGTCCAGGGCATGCAGTTATGGCCGCGTTTCCTTGCCAAGGAAATCACCCGAACAAAGCACAACTCTTCCCTCCCCGCCAAAAAAAAAAAAAAAAATAATGAATGAAAGCACTAAGATTAGATAGAGGGGAAAAAAATGAAGCATCTACTTCATGGGAATGCTACCTATTCAGAAAGAAAAAAAGAAGAAAGAAAAAGAAGAAAGAAAAAAAAAATGAATGGAGGTAGGACAGAAATTAATCAGCCCACTGAACATACAATGAATGGAAAGCAATTGAAAACCCAATTGCACAGCTGTGGTCAAAGCACTGTTTCAATGAAAATGATTTTCTACCCTGAGATAGTGGTATATGCCCATAAAATAATTCACAGGGCTTTTTTTTGAGTGTAGGAGGAGATGTTCATGCAATAATGGGGGAAAAAAAGTGTATTGCATACTTTATATTTCTTTACATGACTTACACATTTTTAGAAAACATTCCTAGATTTACAACACAGTGTGCGCAGAAATATTTGATGAATTGCTGCTGTAGAAACAAGACTGTCTTCTCAAGCAAGGCATGGGATATTAGAAAGAATACTGGACCGGGAAGGGCTTTGAGATTTTGCTATCTGCTTAGCAAATCTGATAATAAACACTATGTTCATAATAGAACAGAAGGCACAGAACAAAAAGTTTTTTCTATTTTTAAAGCATATTTGATTCATAGTAACTTTATTCTTGGACTTATATGGCGAAAATTCTGTGTTGCTTCTACTGAGATGTTTGCACTTATGTCCTGGACAGTCTGTTGGAATTTTTCTTTATAATGGACCACAGGAAGAGTAAAAGGCTGTATGTGAAAAGGACAGGCTTAGACTTTGAAGTTTTCATAAACACACAATATAGGCAGATAAATATGGACTTTCAAATGGGAATTGAAATGGAAGTGCCAGAGAAAGAAGATGGCCTATAAATACACCACAAAAACAAGCTACTCCCCTCCGCAAGAGCCTCTTCGCTGCCTGGTGCCCCTGGCCCACCCGGTTTCCCTCCACAGAAGATCCTTTCACCATTCCGGCACATTCACACTCTTCCACAGGTCCCACCTGATAACAGACTCTACCCTGCCTGTCCCACCGCTTATCCTGCCCGAATTCCCTGTTTGCTCTGAATCTGTGTGCAGGAAAAGGGCCATGTGCCAGTGGTTTAGATTACACTGTCTGAAAAGATGGGACCTCCAGGAGCCATATTCAATCCGTACAATTTTACCTTTCAGTAAAGGAACTTGACACTTCTAATCACGTCTCTCATCTCACTATAAACTGTAACTTCTCAGAAAAATAAATGAATTATAAGCAAATAAATAAATAAATAAATAGAATCCATGCGTTGTTGCGAACAGGAGTCATGGCAATCCGAATGTCTGTTGAATTGATATTTTAACTCTGTTGAACACACGCATTCTGAGCTATCCCTTTATCCCAATTCCTGTTACTTTTACATACTTGTATTAGGTTAGATGTCATCGACCATCCTTTTTCCAGATGTAAAGGAACCAAATCAAACAGTAACAGGAAGAAAAAAAAGCAAAGCCCTCAAACCCTGTTGCATCCCCTTTCGCTGGTTAAAGGGCAGTTTTTATGACTGCTTCCCTGGGAAGGGAACAGGGGGCTCATACTGTGTTCTAGAACGCTGACACGTTATAAATTCACATTAAATTACGTTTATCTTGAATCCATTACCTCCTGCACTATGTGCTGTCCCCTACACCAAGGCCCCTAAATCTTCTCTCTCTGGTTTAGGTAGAATATTCTTATCAATTCTGTGCACAGACCTTTACTTGCACTAGGCAACTTTGCTAGCACTAGTAAATCATTCATTTGTAGCCTTCACTGTCTCATTACAGAGGGGATATATTTGTCAGCAGAAATTACCAACCTACAAGCAAGCTACCCAGTTAACCAGCCCAGCTGAACTATTCCTTTCTTCTTCTTTTACTCTGCTGCAATGGGGTTGAAAGCAAGGGAAGCCACACTGTGCTGGATCAAAGGTCCAGCTAGCAGAGCTATCTGCTTTCCCACAGTGGCCAACAGAAACTGTACAGATGAGATTCACTCAGGGCAAGCAGGCAGTGGACACTTTTACCCACACATTCTCAGCATTGGATGGATTTTTCCCCCAAATAATTTATCAAGTTGCTTGCTGAACCCACACAGATTTTTACCATCTGCAATTCTTGCAGTAATTGTATGTTCTAAGTATGTGGTGAGCAAGGAATTATCCTCCTTTGTTTGCTCAAAGAGTTTCTGTATTCCATTTCCTTATGCTTCGGCATTTCCTCATTTGAATTGCTATTTCAAGCCAGCAAATATTCAGAAAGTGTGAAACAGTATAAAATACACTAGGGGAATGCAAAAGCACCACACTCATTCGCAGTGGATGGAAGGGGAGACCAGCTGATGGCATCGCCACCATGAAGCCTCCAGGAGAGTTGCAAGTCCACATGCGAGTAACAAACGACTTTAGCCCCCTTAACACAACAAGCAAAATCTTGAACCCGACCTTCTCAAGTCCCTGGAAACCAGTAAGATATTAAGTGGTCTCTTGCAGATGCTGAACTGACAACTAAGAGTCCTGCCGAGTACACTGGCAAAACCATACTATTCCCCCCCCGCCAAATAGGCAGAGTACACATTTCATCACCCAAAGTTGGATAGACTGCGACAAGGTAAAGTTCATAAGCCAGGTGACAGGACCAGGGGATAAATTGCCTCAAGTTCTTTGGCATGTAAACACTTTCACAGACAGAATAAGGACATAATATAGTGCATGTCTGGAACCAAATACACAGCTGTATAGCTGCTACTCATAATTTTAAAAATGATAGATTGGTCCAAATTAGGATTTTTTTTCTTAAAAAAAATTAAAGTTAAAAAAAAAAGAGAGAAAAAGAAAAGAAAAATAAATCAAACACACACACTCTTCCACTGGTGAGGATGCTTAAAAGAGGCAAATGTTAATAGAAGGATAACAATAAAAAAAAAATCTAGTTTATCAAGTATGTAAAGGATGCCATATGGCAGATAAAAAGCCGTAATGAGAAAAAACAAAAGGACATGAAACACATGACAATTTTTTGCTGAGTGGCTGAATTTTTTCTTTTTGACAGAAAACAGAAGCAGGTTATGACTGAGGACTACGAGCGCAACAGGACTGCAGACGTGCTAGTGCTACACGTAACATCAAGCTGCAGGTTTGGCAGCTGGATGATGCCGTTCGTGGGCAAGGTACCTTGATGCTCCAGGGAACCAAGTTACAGCAGGCACTAAGGCAAGACTGAGAGATGCAGTCTAACAGACTAGACTGTTGAGCGAGAGAAAAAGAAACAAAGAGAATGAGTGACAAAAAAGGAAAGAAAACAGAATGAGAACACACAAATAAGACAAAAAACATTTAAAATACATAATGCATTCATTTCAGAACACAGGAGGAACCTGAGTTTCAAGGTGATGTTTCAAGATCTTAATACTGGGAAAACAGATCCCTAGCGAAGGACAGGAAAACTTTTCAAGTACTGTCACCAACAGTGGTATGTAAGAGATGAGAAGAGGAACACTGGCTGCAGTACTGCAGTGAAAAAGCCAATGCATCAAAAAAACAATTTAATCTCTGACAAACTCAATTAGCATCAGCAGCAATACACTGAAGGGGAATTGGGCCTGTGTTCCAGTAATACAACTTGTAAGAATCAACACAAAAGTAAGAAGGTATCTCCATATATTTCATTTTGTATCATTCAGAGTCTTCAAGTCTCTGCCCTCTATTTTGTTTTTACGCATGTTTTTGAGTCGGGCTAACAGGCCTGTTAATCCTCAGCAGTTTTCCTTTCGAACCGCAATTGTTCAGGTCCCCTTAGACTTTTCCCTAAGAATCCTGCTCAACCATTCATTTGTAGTATGAGTAGTATCCCCTGGTGGCACATAACTTACCTCTACAAAATAAGAGTATGTTTCTGGACCTAGATCTTTTATTTGTGTGACCTAAGCCATGGCTTCATATTATGTCTTCAGAGAAAACAGACAAGTGGAGTATCTGGCTACAGTATATATACATATATATATACTGTATATAATACGTTTTTAGGGAAATAAAAGAGTAGGAAAATATGGCTTCCTTTCAAAATCACCATGCACTAAAAATTATTTTTTTTTCCTGCAAATTGACAATTATGTCAACTTAGAAGACTGCAAACAGTAAATAGCCATACATCGATTATTATTCTGGTATCCTCAAATTTCAATGGTTAAGTACTACACATTCAGAATTTATATGTTTGTCTTTTTGCTTTGACAAAGACAACTACAAAGGTTTCATTAAGTGGTTGTTACTCAAGAACTGGTCTCCTGACATCTGAAAAAGGACTGATTCAAGGCACCAGACTTACTAGAAGCACTTAACATTTTATCTTTGGGTTATAACTCAAGTTCACAGAGCTGTTCATGGTATGTTTGTTTAAAACAGAATAAAGTTGCAGGCCATTACATAAACCAAAGCCACTTAAAAAAAAATACTGCGCAAAGGACACTCCAACACATTGAATTTGACCAATAAAGGGGAGTCATGGTGTAGTTTTGTAATCAATTAACATCTTTCTGAGCTCTACATAAGAGCTAAGATTAAAGTTCCAAGATAATCAGTAACATGGAAGACTGGAAATTTTGGCAACCGTCTTTCTCCACAGCCCTGAACCATGTTTGCAGGAGGAAAAAAAAAAAACATATCTACAGGAAACTATGAAACTATTCTAATTCGAAATGATTCTCTGTTCCAGGAGACATAATTATTTGTACTTTTTTTCAGAACACACAGCAATCATTTGTAACACCTTATGTTCAGATTATACTCCATGAAACATTACCTGACAGTTCTGAGTCTGTAAGAGGCCTGCCTTACCCATGCTAATATATTCTCACTCAAATAGATATTTTTTAAACTGTATTTATCTTTTTTAAATGCTACACTAGTCTCACATATCAGTTGGGTCACAAGCTGCATAGCACTACCTAGGACAAGTTGATAATAAGTACGTACATCCAAGAAGTATAAATTATATTAACAGCAACAAACAATTGATATTTTCCCCCAATGCAGATTATGACTCCACCGATTTCAGCAATATTTTGCCAATCATCACCATAACGTATTCTGAGGTATTAATCTGCTGAGCATTCCCTGTTCACTGACAGTGCAGGCTGCAGCATACAGCTAGCCAGGGTGCTGCAGCACTGCTGGCCAAAACAGATGCAATGCAGTGAAAACCTGGGTGGGAGTCAGCACACATACCACAACAACTTTCAGCGTGTGATTAAAAGACATTGAGGACAGAATCAAAACCACTTTGTGATGGTATTCTTCAAGCCCACTTCACAGAATTTACATGCTTTGTACAGCAATATAATTATTTGACCGATGCTACAGCAGCACACATAGTTCAGCAGTTATTCAAAAAAATGAAATGGTGTTACAGTCAAGGACACCCTTCCTCTCTCTAAGCTATGCTCTGTGCCAAAGCATTCTAGAATATCTGCTCGAAAATGTCAGGAGCTCCAACATTTCATGTTTGGACGGGATCCAGTGCAACTTGCTGTCCACCTCAGCATTAGTACCACAAGCCCTGTCATCAAGGCCAGACACAGCTAGTACTCTTTCAGAGCCCACAGGCACATAAGGAGAAAGTAAGGACAGAGGAGGGAAACTCCCCTGAGTTGCAAACATATAAACATGAAGCAAACAAACATGGCAAGTAAATGCGGCATGGACAGGCAATCTTTCACTCTGCAGTCACTTATGCAAGTGGCTGTGATGCATTAGGACAAAACCTTTACTACTGAAGCTGCATAAATATATTACAGAGCAGTTCAAAGTTTCAGTACACTTTCCTGTGAGGGTGGCAGAGCCCTGGAACAGGCTGCCCAGAGAGGTTGTGGAGTCTCCTTCTCCGGAGATCTTCCAAACCCGCCTGGATGCCACCCTGTGCCACGTGCTCTAGGTGACCCTGCTGGAGCAGGGGGGCTGGATTAGATGATAGTTTTGTGCTACTTAGAACTATTCAACATTCATTAAGTGTTGTTACTCTCTCAGGTACTACTGCCTCGCAGCTGTTGCAGCTGTGCTACATATTTATGTTGAATCTCTAAAGGTCCCTTCCAACCTCAACCATCCTGTGATTCTGTGATACTGGTGACCAGGTAATAGCTCTTCCCAGTAGTGTCTTGTATGTACTTAACAGTTTCATAACAGCTCCCTGGACGGGTGTCTTCTCTCCACAACGTCACCAACCTTTTCCATGCTTTTTTACATCTTCATCATAGCAACAGTAGTGTTATTTAAATACATGGGTAAAACTGGGATTTTTAGGAATCTATGAAAAGTCGGATAATCTAAAAACATTGCAATTCTAAGGATAAATATCTATCACCTTATGAACCTAAGGATAAATATCTATCACCTTATGAACCTTTAAAACGATCTTTTAAAAATCCTATGCTATTTGAATACTAAGAATACAGCAGACAATTAAACAGTACTATGCATTTACTCCTCCCAACACTTTGCCCTCCCCATCATTACCTTTTGCTCAATTTCCTCATAATCGTCCTGGTAACTTCCACAGATTGCACTGGAGGAAGAGGAGAAGGTTGGGCCCTGAGAGTAATACTGAGAGCTCCGATAGCCATCCCTCCGCAGCTTGTCACACTCTGCAGAAAGAGAGAGGGAAACAGGAGATTACAAGAGCCAAAACAGATTATAACCGGTGTGCATTGAACCTACAAAGCATATTTAATATATTTACCATGCATTAGCATTTTATGTCTCTAGCAACAGAACACAAAGGTACATTTCTGGTATACAGCTCTACATTTTCTTCTCTCACACATACTACACACATATGCTCACATGTTGCATATACACACATCACTTATTTAACTTGGGAGATTACAAGAGCTTTGGAAAGACTATGCAGAGAGGGAAATTTGATTTATTTATTTTTTAAGTGAGGCCTGGCTCAGTGTCTGGGCAGATGGCAGGATCTTGCAGAAGGGGAGACAGAAGCGTGCTGCGAACACGGGGGTCTCGCTTGCCAGGCCGGTAGACATCCAGTATGTGCCTTACGCTTGCAGTGATGATGCTGCTCACTACTTAAGCGCCATCTGCTAAATAACTTTGGCACTGACCACTTGTCTTGTCTTCCTGCCTGAGGAAGAGACCACTTAATGGGATCTTGGAGAGAAAAAAGCAAATAAGAGGGAACTCAAAATCTCACATCCCCCATTGAGTGTGTACAGTGCATAACTGAAGAGTTTTCAGAGCTCAAAAAAAACAGCAAGAGCAAACTTGCATGCCCAGTCAGAACGGCCACAACTCCAGTCTGCAGCCCCTTCCCCACCCCCCATCCAAATTTGTCATATGCGTCTTCCTTTCCCCTAATTAATATTCAGTGTGATTGTGCTAAAGAATAACAGACGACAGAGCATAAGGAAAAATTAAATGTTCAAGATGTGGTAACCAAACTGATCTGCCCAGTCAAACTGTTAGCTTTGCATTTCCAGATACAGAAATCTGAATCTGACAAAAGACAAGGAAAGCCAAAAGGAAAATTATTTAATACATTCTTATATAAAACCTTAAGCTTCTGCACAGCAGATGTGCATAATTACATCACAAAGTGCTTCTGTGATCACTTGCTGCAGAAAAGTATTCTGCAATTGCATCATTTCAGTCTGCTTATTTTGATCTCCTTAATATTCCTGAAAATAAAAAATATGGAGTGTTTATATTGAGGGGAAGGTTTTACAGAGGCTTTTTCTTCTCTTTCTTCTGTGCGAGCAGGTTAATGTACCTACAACAGGCGCAGCGCTGCGTGACAATTTCATCCATACGGATTCCCCTGCGTGTGTACATCTACACCAAGCACGAGATCTTAGGATTTGGTGGTTCGCCTTCTCCATCAGAGCCAGGCACATGTCCTGGCCTATCCCACATTTCCGTACGAAGTCAGAAAGGGCACTACAACACAAACCTTTCTACTCTCTCAGTTTGAAGACCGAGGCCACTAGTGGGTTTTGAGATCCGCATCATTTACTATGCTCCAAAGCCACGGGGTTCACAGCCACGCTTACCCGTTTGTCACGCGTTAACTCGCTCCTCGCTGCCGGCACCTGGCGCGATGCTGCTGCCCTGCACGGCAGGGACGGACCAAGACTGCCAGGGAGCTCCGGCGCACGGAGACGCCCGCACCGCTCCTGCAAACCTGGCTCGAATGGTGCCGACTCCAGCGCACGGCACTCACGAACACGAGCGCACAGACCCGCTGCTGGCCACGAGGAGCCACAAAGCAGCAGCTGCCAGGGGGCTGCAGCAGAGCGCGGCCCGGGGAAAGACGCATCCACTCAGCAGCACGTGCACACTCACCTCAAATTACGCCCCGGGTGTTGCATTATCTTGAGCGTACCTGATCTCATCAGTCACATTCCTGAGCACACATGAACTCAGTCTGTTTCCACAGCTATCCCAGCAAGTACAGGAGAGGAGCTCAGAAACTTCCCCTGGGGGGCATGGCTGGGAGGCTGGAGCCAGGTCTCACCAGCTCCCTGGAGCGCTGTGCTGGGCATCACCACCTTCCACCGCCTCTCAGGCTTGGTGTCACCAGGGGAAAAGTCATACATTAGTTCTTACCCCTTTCCTTCTACTCTAGCAATGCATAAAATTGCAAAACCTCCTCTGTACTGTAAATAGTGCTTTAAAATTACTGTGGTCATATCATGTTATAGCTTAATTTATCCCCATTTATGTGGGAAGGTTTAACCCCTCCTACAAACTGAACTTTATCTGAGGTTGTGTTTTGTTGTTCACAGGGTGGTTTCTGTCAAGGATGAAGGAAGCGCATGGGACATCTGGGCAAAAGCTTCTCAGAAGCTCCCCCACCAGTCTCACAGCCGTAAGAGCAGGGTGGATGTGATGTGGAGGAGATAGATGGTGTTTTAAAGCTGTTGGTGTCCAGTACCATCACACCTGAGTGCTGTCACATAACCAACTGCCAATATGCCTGCTCGGCATGCTCTTAAATTTGGTAGGAGACAAAAGCCGGCCGAGAGGTGCTTGCTCCTCAGCAGCAGCAGCCAAGCTAAGGACCACTCTCCTTTCCTACTAAATCGGGTAGGCAGGACAGGGAGTTTGTGGTCAAGATCAGCACAGCATGTGCCAGAAGCGACCTAGCACAAGGACTCCATGGAATGAAGCACAATTCCTCACGGGGACTGCAAGCCACAGACACCTGCACATCTTAGAGAGCTTTGCAAAAATTACTATGTTTTATTGGCAATACCTTCACCTGCTGCAGGGCAAGGTCCAAGGATCAGACTCCAGATGAATAACCAGACCTCTCAGTTTTAAACCCTTACAGCCTCTGTAACATGTAGCCCAAACAACTGAAAACACCCTAAAGGCTTCTCAATACAGGAGACATGATCATTCCTGTACTGGAAGCAGCTCCCACCTCACACTGAACTCCACTTGACCCTGAGCCAGTAACACACAGCAGCAAATCGTGCACACACAGTGATTTACTGCTTCTCAAATCATTTGAAACCCTATTCTTACACTGCAAAAGTCACACATCACTTGGGTGAACAAGCACTGGTACCTCATTAATGCGTTTGACATGGTATTACTGTAGAAAAACAGGATTAGCGCATACGTTGTCTGCCTAGTCAGACACACACAATGGATTTTCTCAAGGACTGTTTTATAGGAAAAGAACTGGATATGTTTGGTCTTTTTTCTTTGCCTTCAAGCTACTTTGGCAATACTTGTACTGCAAAATACCTGCAGAATTGCCTGCCACGAGAACCAGTCACAGGAACTTGAAAGTTTACGTGAAGCAAAATGTATTACTCTGCCAGCCACACATACTAGAACCAGTTGGAGATGAATTTGAAGTCATTCTCGTAAGTTGTCTTTAAGTTTTTCTTTTTACTGAAAATTTCCTGGGCAAGACAAAGCATTACTTTTCATGGGCTTCCTCATTAAGGCTGTGCTTTTGCCTGGAGGCATCAGACCCCTCTATTTACCCGTGGGCAGGGAGAAGGGCTCCGGGTGCCAATTTCCTTGACTTGATCCCAAGGATCTTGCTGCTAAGTACAGCCCCAGGCCACAGCTCTCTTCTCCCTCACTATCCGCCAGTCCTCTACACTACAGGCCTGATGTTGCAGCCATCACTTACTAAATCATTTCCTAGTGAAGCAATGAAAACCAGAAGGCAGAGGTACCAGGGCTCAGAAACGTCCAAACCTCTTGGCCAACTGCTAAAATCCCAACCCAAAATGTCAGGCTCACCACAGGAGTTTCTGTGAGCCCCGTGAAGAGCAAGTGTGCTGCCCAAAGCTACAGACCCAGAAACTCTGTAGCACACATGGAGAAAAGGAAAGACCGGAGGACGCTGTGATGGCCTTCAAACCTCCCTGGTGCGAAGAACGGACAGGGGACAAGGTGACAGCTGGATCCGCATGCCTGAAAAAATAACTCTGCTAAATTCAGGGCAACTTCTTGGCAGACCCTTTCATGTTGTAACTTGTATTTTGTAGGGTGGGTTTTTTGGCTTTTTAAGTAGGGGCTATTAACTGCATGAGTCAGCTAAACTGTCAACCACAGAAATAAATCTGCTGACTAGCATATTAAAACACATTTATCGGTTCACTCTCCGGAAAAGTGCTCTACTGCCTGAAGTCAGAAATCTTTTTGATTGTTTTTCTTTTTAATTTTAAACATTGTAGTCAACCCTTTTTTTCAGTAAAGTCACAAAAACCTTTCTTCTGTAAGTCATAACTAAAAACATAACAGCTTTTCAAAATCTGTGTTACTTGTACCTAAAATTATCAGACAGACTGTAGTGCAATATACTCGTTTTCCCTCATAGAAGTGAACAGGTTACATGACAGCTTTGTTACTCCTACACTTTTGGGACTTTATGTGTCACAATGTATTTTAATGATCACAATAGTATTATCACTTATTTGTTTTAGAAGAAACTTGGTTTGTTATAGACCAGACTGGAGGACGAGAGACCTGGACTCCAGGCTGAGAATTGCTGCAGTCTCACTAATTCCAAGCAAAACACACAGGATTAGAGTCAGGAAAAGACTATTTCAGCAGACAGACCTTACACTATCTAAATTTCAAGTACATGGCTGCTAAATTTGGAATCCAAGTGGGTACCTTCACTCTGCAACAAGGGGGTGCAGGAAGGCACCTTAGAAGGGGACCAGCTAAGAGGTGGATAACAGTGAGGGTGAGGGAGCACGGGAACAGGCTGCCCAGAGAGGCTGTGGAGCCTCCGTCTCTGGAGATCTCCAAGGGCCGCCTGGACGCAGTCCTGTGCCACGTGCTCTAGGTGACCCTGCGTGTGCAGGGGTTGGACTAGATGATCCCTGGAGGTCCCGTCCAACCTTATGGATTCTATGACTCTTAAATTGTCCTCTTCAGATGAGTAACAACCAATATTCCAGATCCAGCACATCTGAGCATTCTTTTCGGGAGAACAAGGACTTAATAGGGATTTTGACATCTCCTCTCCTGATTATATGGTTTTCTTTTACCTAGTAGTTGCTGAAAGTTAAGAAAGTATTTTCCCAGTTGGTATGCATTTATGATTCTTTTTTTTAAGAGAAGAACACCAGCCAAATTTCCAACTTTCTACTAC